CCCTAACTAACCCTAACTAACCCTAACTAACCCTAACTAACCCTAACTAACCCTAACCCTAACTAACCCTAACTAACCCTAACTAACCCTAACTAACCCTAACTAACCCTAACTAACCCTAACTAACTAACCCTAACTAACTAACTAACCCTAACTAACCCTAACTAACCCTAACTAACCTTAACTAGCCCTAACTAACTTGGTGTTGGCAATATTCGTGTTACTTCCGGTCCCCGTACTGTGGGTGATGCTGGTGATGCTGGTGATTTGGACATCCGTTGAGCTGGCGTTGATGCTGCTACTACCGGACAATATGCGGTCTCGTCCGAGGAAGCTGACCGAGTTTCGACTTCGACCCATCTTTTTGGTGACCGGAGTGGCCGGGGATACTACGTGAGGGAGGATCGGGGATGGCGAACGTGACGGCGGTAATGGTATTGATGGTGATGGAGGTACGGCGGTTGCCAACTCCCGGACCATCACATGATTGCAGGACAGAGCCGACGCCGACGCGCCCGCCTCGGGGTGGTTTATAATGGCAAGGCGGAACGACAGGCCCTGGGAGACGGTTTCGTCATCGTCATGGGGTGTGATATTCGCGGGCCGCGACGCGAGTGCAAGATGCAGCACATGCGAGTCGATGCATCGCACGCCGAGCCCATGCTGCAGCGCTCGATACACGCTCTTCAAGGCACGTCGCAATAGGACCAAATGCCGACTTTGGGAACGTATCTTGTGGCTCTTTTCCAACTCCACATTTTGTGCAGTGAGTGTGTCCAGGCTCGCGATACCGTCCTTTATGCATGAGAGCAGGTCGTCGTAGCTGGTTTTGCGTAGTGAAAAGGACACCCGTTTGAGCAGGCGCTGACGAGTGCTGTTGATCGTACTGTTGCTGCTGCTATTGCCCTCGAGCAACTGGGCTGTCCCTTCTGGCCGCAGACCGAGTTTGTGATACATTTCTTGGATCGCAGCGTAGACGTCTCTGATGGTTGTTTGGAAGACGTCGTGGGATCGCCATAGCCGCATCTGGATGCCCGTTTGTAGATGGGGCTCGCGCCACAGCGGACCAAACGGTTCATTGAGCATGGCCTCGATCTTTGAGGGCGGCGCTAGGCCGACGAGGAGCTTGTCGCCCTTAACATTAAGATAATCCGGTAAGTTTCCTGTTATAGTTATTTGAAGAAAGAAGGAACAAATAATTATTGGGCATCGTGTGCTATTGTAACGCTCGGGCAGTTTGACATGGCGATAAACGCCCCCCGCAGTGGGTCTGGGGCAGAATGCCAGAGGAACATAGCACGACAGACTTTCGAGGCACTGGATAAGAAAAAGTCGGGGAGTTTAGCGCTGACGAGTCACACATCAACAGACCTCACAGGGCACTTTGGGGTACAACTTGATACTCTACCACAGTGGATTAATTATTCATTCTTTTATTTATTGACTCCCTATCGTAGTGTCTTTTCACGCTTTTTATCTGTGACCGATGCCGATTTGACAACTACAGTAGGGGCCAAAAGGCCGGTCGTGTGCTCGGCAACCATCACGATCGTTAGCGTTCTTGCGTCCACAGTGACCGAGGCAGGGGAACAATGTATAAAAAATAAAGATGAGAAGAAGTAAACATGAATATGATGAGAATATCCGGAATGAAATTGATGAGAGTGAATGCTGTTTATATTTTTAAAGGCACTTAGATGACATTAGGGTTGCTGCGTTGCTCTAATGGCTTCAGTTCTTGGCTTAGCCTCGGCCTCACCCACACCAGTTACCAACACGTGGAGGCGAAGATCGGCCTTGCAAAAATAATTAAGGAGAGGAACAATTAAAATTGAGATAATATTGGGAGAGCGGCAGTCGGATCCTAGCCCACGAACAAACAAACATTTTGGCTAACAGAAAAACAAAAGTGATATCATGCTGTAGAAAGAAAAAGGACAAATACTACAGGGCCCAGATATGCTCCATCACGTTGTCTTGTCCGGTGGTCTCCCTTAACCCAAACGGGGATTGTACATCATGGAGATGGACAACTGCAGTGTCAACGGCATTCTCTACGAATTCAAACAATGCCCAGGCAAACTAAACGACATAACAGAACAGCCTTTCACGATTTACGCCGATGTAATGTATGCTCAGAAGACCAACTCTCTCGTAATGCATTGGACAAAAGTAAAATTTTCATACACTTCCTAGCCCTAACCTTCTAAAATATGTACGTCTTCTTCTTTCAAAGGGACGTGGAAAGAAGATCCACTGGCCGTATCTCTAAAGACGGGATGCCGTATACCCTGGCCATTTTTCGAAAAGCTTATCATTTCTTCATATTCTGAACGCGCCCAAGCCAATAACTTGCTCCAGTCACGACACATGTGGGTGCTGGAGAATTAGCCCAAGAAATGGAATAGTCGTCAATCCAGTTAAGGGTGATAGACTTGTATCGGCCGAGCATTACAAGAAGGACCGAATAGAGTCGAGGCAGTGTGCTGAAACGTAAGCAACAGTAACGGAACAAAAGGACGAGTGACAACGAGGAGAGGAAAAAAAGAAGGGAGCATATATGAATAAATTCTTACCTGTGTGAGCTTCAAGGACTAGCCCAGTCTCAAGCTCGGCAAGATAATGATCCTTATAAATCATCTTCCTCAGGTGATTCTATTGTCCTTCCGTAAAAAATTATTTTATTGTGGCGTTAAGACTTATCCTACTTTGGGTCGGAGAGGCCATTGCACCTTGCTTTGGTCGCCCCAACTCCACCAGCCCTTCCCACCGTTTCTAGACACGGCTTGCCTTTTTTCACAAGAATTTTGCATATATCCCAGGTGTCGTTCAGCCTCTTGCTCTTCCAAAATTTACTCCTCCCTCGACCTAATCAGATTCTCCATTGGAGTTTCAAAGATGCCAGTTGCCTCCAGACGCGCCCGATCCCACAGGACGTATGCCCACCGACGCAGATGGCTACGATCCTCTTGGTATACCCAGTTTTGCCAGCTTTCATCTATATGTGCCCAGCGCCAGACATCCGCCGGTCCAGTATCAGGGTCCGCAAAGAATGGCGTATGGAAGTAGCGAGCTTCGTCCTCCGGCTGTATGTCATCGTAGAAGACGATACTGTCATATTCGTTTGCTGCCATTTGTAGCCCTTCGTAGAGGAAGGAATACGTGGGCGCTGGGTTTCGGCCGGCATCCAAGAGCCGGTACCGTTCCTCATATGTTTCTGCTTCCGTAAGATGATACAACCTCGCAAGGCCCCATGATAGGACGTGTTCAAGAGGAGGTGAGCCCACCCCGACGCCGTATGGCACACACGAGACACCCCAAGAGATATCATGCTCTGCGACGTCATCGAAAGCTATCGTTGTTTTCTCGTCAGTACAAAATATTTAAGCGGAAACAGCTATCTCTGTGTGGGAAACTGACATGGCGACACAGCGCGTGCGAGGAAGTCGTGTATGCAGCCAAGCTGCTCATTCTCCCAGCGCGCAAAATTGGCAAAGAAGAGCTCTTTTTGCTCGGCGTACAAGATGGATGGCGTTGTTCGGGTCAGACTAGTAATCGACTGCTTCGTCGGGACTTCCCGGAAAAGGTTGCAATAGATTTCATTGCGGTACAATGCTCGCTCGATGCGGCATATCTCTTGGTACGTCGCGGCCAATCCTGGCTGGGATTTGTGGAGGGCATCTTGGCCCAAAGCCGCAGTCACAAACTTGGTGGCCCAGCGGTCCACGTAGATATGGAGTCGCCCAAGCAGAAGCGCGTCCCGCAGCGACAAAGACCGGGGAGGCATAGATCTCCGGCGGAGGCTGTTAGCGACGAAATGCTCGACCGCGTCTTTGTCATTTTGCTGCGCACCATGGGGCCGCAGCTGCAAAGAAGCAGCGGCGGCCATCGCTTCAGGGAGCACGCTATCATCGATCTGGTTCCGCAGGACCAGTGCTGTGGTGGATGCCTCTGCCTCTAGAAAACAACCATAGAACAACGGACACGACAAGACTGCGGCGCGCAGGGATTCGACATCTGGCACGGCAGAGAGGATCAAGTGCACGAGCTCGACCGACAGTGTTTCGATGGGACTTGCTTGACACTGCCGATCTTTTTCCATGGCGATAGTCGAAATTTAGGCCGTAATAATACAGGCTGTGTAAAGGGGAGAAATGTGACGACGGAGCGACATGCCCGCCCACAGAATTACAGAAGGCGTTCAGATCAGTTGACGACTTGTTCAACATACGCTAGCCCCGATTAGTCAACGGCGGTAAAGTGGACACGCCCAAGGTACTGACCGTTTGACATTGGTGAGCTTTAACTGGCGCTGTCGCTGTCTGCGTGTGGGTGCAGGCGTTAAGAATCTTGTACGTTGTGGTTAAATACCGGATATTGGCCAAATACGAAGGATGTAGTATATGATTGGTTCTTGTTCTGGAAGGGCGAGATATCTTTGGATGTAAAATGCCTTTTGTGTTTACACTCCGTACTCTGTTTTATAACATACTTAGTCATCCTTGTGCAGTCCCTTTGTTTCTAGCACGTGACTATCCTTAGGGGATGTCCTTGACCGCCCTGGCCTCTTTAAGCCTCGTGGTTCCTCAATCGTAACCAGGACGTTTGACCACGATTTACGTAATAAGTCGCAGCGAAAGACCCAGCTTTCATATTTTAAGCTTAAACTACGGACGATATACTCGTATATGTAAGCATGTATCAGCAAACTTAGTAACGGATTCTTAATCTAAAACCTAACCCCTTTTATTATTTTCAACTGCACTGCAATCGTCGAAATATCATCACACTTAAAGACCAAAAACTTCTTTCAGTTTGAATGTTCCGAAAAGCTCGCTTTTGGTATTAACTTTTCGGTTGGCAAACCTTAATCGACTCGAAACAATGGCAGAAGGTGACACTCAAATCCCTTCGCCGACAACGGCATTTCAGGCATTACCCTTGAATATTACCGATGGTCACCAAACAAATCTCGCCCCCACACCCCTATCGCGACGATCGACTCGATATGATACTGTTACCCAACATAAGGGATCCCTCTCCGTTCCCGACTTTGACGGTTCCTTCGCTCGCAGTTCAACGTATACACATAAGCCGGCCGAGCGACCCTGGTTTGTACAGCGCAGTTACTACACTAGAGGCTGGACAGACCCAAGCATCTGGAAAGCTGCCGTTGTGGAAAGCGTCGGCACTTCAGCACTGGTGTGGCTTTCGGGCCAGTTTGGTTTGACCATTGGCGGATATGGTGACAAAGATATCGGCTCTTATGTGGCTATTTGGAGTGGCGTGCTCATCGCCAGTGGCATCTATGCAACAGCTCCAGCATCGGGGGGGCACTTGAATCCATTAATTACCTGTTCAACGGTCGTCGCTGGATTGTGCCCTGTGCCACGCGGATTTATCTACATCATGTTTCAAATGATTGGAGGCGCGGTCGCAGGCGGGCTCTTGCTAGGTACGTGGGGGAGCGCGAAGGCCATTACATCACATGCAACGGGCTGTTGGTTCGATCCAACAGAACAGTCAGCCGGCCAAGTGATGCTTCTTGAGATATGCTCATCGTTATACTTGGTATTCCTTGCGTTTGGGGTTGGCCTGGATCCGAGGCAGGCTGTCATTTTTGGGCCGCAGTTGGGGCCAGCATTGGTTGGTGCGGTTTTTGGGCTTGTTGCTTTCGTCACAACGGGAACGGCGCCGGGGTATTTGGGGGCCGGTTTAAACCCAGCGAGGTGTTTTGCTTTTTCCATAGCAAGGCGGGACTTTTCATATTATTGGATATGGTTTCTGGGGCCGATTATAGCAGCAGTGTTACATGGGGTATTATATAATTTCATCCCACCATGGCACGCCTCCGGAGACCATAAAAAGAAGTCCTAGTGTTATCACTAGTAAATAAAGACTCCGTCATTACAAATCTGACTACATAATGTGTTAAGATAACTAGAGAAAGTCCACTCGTGCTACTCATAAGGTAAACTAAGGACCGAAACACCACACTTAAGAAGCTTGTCCCGAACTTAATTATCACAAGGGAAAAAAGGCGATAAATATAAAAAGGCGACGTGGAATTCGATAATCGTACTGAAGTGGGGTGGAGTGCCGTACCCACAAACACACGTACACATTAACCAAAAGAGGCGGTGACGAAAGGATTACACTGATGCCATATTCCCCGAACTATTTCTAATTATGATGTATGGTATCTTGTGGCAACCGCGGATCAGAGACACGCTTGGATAGAAATATATACATACATATCTAGGTACGTGGGTTTCAGCCTACACAAATCTACAAACAGCATTCCATGTTGGACAGACGTAGAGAACGCAAAGAGTGTGGCCAGTGTGGTGCATGTGGGCACTTGGTGTCCTCGACGCGGCAGGTTTCGCAGGTTTCGCAGAAAGTTGGCCGTAAGCGACCGGCACTGACAGTGGGTGTTGGAAGGAGATAAGGTAAGGACAGAAAAGACGATTTTTTTGTTTTTAAATTTCTGGTGAATAAAAGTAGAAAATGAATATTTAAGCTTTTGTGCTTCGGTTCAAAAATGCTTCTAATGAAGCAAAACAGTTACAGGACAAAGTACGCCATGATCACCGCACAATAAATAACAAGCAAAAAAACTCTAGTTGCTAAGTCACGATTTAAAAACCAGACTGTCACTTATTGAAATCACATAAGTAAACAAAAAAGAAACATAAGCTATTCTGATGTACAATATAGTCGCCGTGTATCTCGCCTTGTTGGCCACCGTTGTGCGCGAACAGCCCGGCCAATATCTGTGACGCGAAGGCATTGTATCCAAGTTCGTGCTAAGTATGTAAACATACAATGTGTTCACTGACTTAATAACTTGTCTCCACATACAGTCCCTGTGGTGAGCAATCCCTCGGCCACAGGCCACGAGGTCCAGGGGCCCAGAAAAGAGACACTGGCTTTACGGTGTTTCCACAGTGATTCCCTGATCATGTGGTCCCAGCTAATGGTGTTGGCGGCTGACGGCTGTCAGGATAGACGGTTTTGGCCGGACCATCTTTAAAATATACCAGTAAGATGAATACATAGCGTCTCTCGTGACGAAATAAACCAACGTATTTCTTCGTTTAGATGAGCGACTAGCTAGATGACCGACACCGGATCTGGGCAGGCAAGCAGCATCGGGTAAATATCTATTAAGACTTTATTCCTCCACGTACGAATCGTAGGCGTACTTCTTTCCTGGATGGTCATTGCGAAGGCCTTGTTGTCCTTTTCCATAAATCCGCTCACGTGCGGTGAGTGCTTCACCTCCGTCTGTTGGGAGTTCAGGGTAGATACCACGCTTCCGAAGCTCAGGAATCAAGAGGTCCACAATGTCCTCAAAACTTCCGGGCGTAATAACATAACCAAGATTGAAACCGTCCACATCTGCCTCACGAATCCATTTTTCCAGCTCGTCGGCTACTGTTTCCGGACTGCCGATCGAGACAGGCCCCAGACCACCGATTGAGGCACGCTCAGCAATGACCCGTGGTGTCCACTTAGGGATCTCCTCACTCGTCGTAGAGAATGCATCAAGGATGCTGTGCACGCGGTCCGGAACGCTCGCGTCATCTCCAGTGATCTCTTTATCGAGCGGCAGGGCAGATAGATCAATTCCTGTCCAGCCACTGACAAGGACAAGACCCCCAATGGTTGAAGCATACTTTTTGAACTCTTCGTGCTTCTCCTTGGCTTCTTCGTCCGTGCGGCCAAGGACTGGTGTGAACGTTGCAAAGACTTTGATTGAGCGTGGGTCACGGCCGGCTTCCGCGGCAAGTTTTCTGATGTTGTCGATCTTCGGGCGAAGCACAGCAGGAGCGTGGCTAGACACAAAGATAGCTTCAGCATGCTGTGCCGCGAAAGATGACCCGGCACTGGATGTGCCTGCCTGGAACAAGAATGGTGTGCGTTGCGGAGACGGGTCTACGATGTGCCGAGAGTCGAGATTGTAGAAACGACCATGATGGTGGATGGTACGGACTTTGTCAGGGTCCGCATAAATATCCGTTGCGGCATCTTCTGTTACAGCATCATCGGCCCAAGACCCTTCCCAGAGTTTATACGTCACACGCAGGTATTCGTCTGCCTGCTCGTACCGAAGATCGTGTTCGATGGGTGCGTCGATACCAATCGCCTGAAACGCCGACTTCTTCCAGGATGTGACAATGTTCCAAGCAATTCGGCCGTCCGTCAAGTGGTCCAGAGTCGAGAACCGCTTCGCCAACAGGAAGGGCGGCTCAAAGGAAGTGGATGCCGTGATACCAAACGACAGGTGTTTGGTGACAGCTGCCATTGCAGTGATTGGCTATGGTATGTTAGAGTTTTGGTCTGCCATTGGATTGCGTTAATAAAAGTATCATCATACAATACTGGGGTCCGTGATGGGCCACTGTGCAGCTCTGCGGATGCAGTTGTCAAGACTGCCCTCGTAGGTATCGTAACCGCCGTACGTATCGGCGAGGAACAACGCATTGATGCCACCTCGCTCAAGCGTCTTCGCTAGATCAATCCAGTAGTCAAGTTTGCGCTTGGTCGCAGATTTATCTTTTGGATTCTTGTATGCATCTTAGCAATTTTCCTAGCCACTCAAACCGAAGATCCGCACATCCGTATTGCACTCACCTTCCATTGCCCTGGCGATAGGTGGCCAACCGTAGACATATCAAATGCATTCAAAAAGATTTGGGTTTTCCCGTTGCCCAGATCATGGGCCGCTTTGGTTCCCGTGTCTGCCATTCTGAATCGTGTACTGTCGGCACTGTCCTTTCAATGTCAGCTTATCCTTTTTCCAGTTCACGGGCAGCAACGTGTTATATGCTTTTTTAAAGACAGTGAGCCCGATATCGCAAACACCACGCGGGAAAAACTATCGGGGTGTCATACCACATTACCAAAACCGCTCAATGTTTACTAAATAGTCATGTCGTGATTCACACTCCTATGATCTAATCTGCAACGAATCCATCAATTAAAAAGTTGGCATGTTTCGCAAAACCCTCAAGTATACTTTGCCCCGTACGTTAAAGGAAATAGCCATAGCTGGGATGCGATGCATATGGTGATGTGCTGGCGCCTTATAGTCTAGGGATAGCGCCATATGGTAAGTGGGGGGCATCGACATTAACAGTTCAGGTCCCGATATACCCGAGGGTGGCAATAAACATATACCATCTAATTCCGCCAGGTAGAAGTCTTTCCATACTATTTACCTATGCGCATAATGGGTATCTAGGCATTGACTTTGCGATCGTGTTGGATACATCTTCTGTGGCCGTGTACATATATAAAACTCGAGGATATCTCACATTAAAAACAAATTCTCATGTATGGTACCAAGAACAGCATATAGCAACCAGCAACACTTAATTTCCTTCTTCAACATGTCCAAGGAGATCGAGCCACAAGTTCTGTCAATACACGATGTTGACGTCAACGCCAGTTCCGCTGTGCCTGAACCACCACAGGTGGCTCGCCAATCCTTCGAGGGGCGGTCCCGTGGTGCCGGTACAGAGCTGCGGGATGATCCTGAGGCACGCGTTGCTTTCCTCGAAACTTTTACTGCTGAAGAGGAGAGGTCAATCATGCGCAAAGTTGATTATCGTTTTTGCGTTTTGATTGGCATGATGTACATGATCAAATCTGTAAGTCGTCATTATCACCAACACCACACTAGAAGCGGATGAAATATTAACACCTTAAGATTGACGTAAACAACATGTCGAACGTTAAGGTGCTCCAGGTAGGCCAGCTAAGCAACATCTTGAAGGAGCTGCAGATGACTGCCGACCAGTACAACTGGTGTGGCTCAATTAATGGAGTAAGTTCTTGCCTCTGCCTTGAAATGGTGAACCACAGACCAACCAAGTTGCAGATCGCATACATTATTTTCGAAGCGCCGAGCAACCTTTTGCTCAAGCGATTCTCACCCCATGTCTGGCAAGGCCGTATTTTCCTCACTTGGGGTATTATCACGGCGTGCCACGCGGCTGTTGAAACGCATAATCAGCTCTGGGCACTGCGTTTTCTGCTCGGGTATGTTACAATTATTGTCTTCCGTCTACATGTCTTAATTATGGAGACAAATTTGGAGACAATTTTATGTCTAACACGATTTCAGCATGTTCGAGGCCGGCATGTTTCCCGGTGTCATGGCTCAACTATCAAGCTGGTACCGTACCGACGAGATTGCAAAACCAGTGGCGTGGTTCTTCGGTATTTCAGGCTTATCATCCATTGTGGGCTCTCTTCTCTGTTATGGCATCAGCTACATGAATGAGGTCCGTGGCATAAGTGCCTGGAGATGGGTCTACATTATTGAAGGCTGTGTCACGATTTTGTTCTCGGCTATTGTGTTTTTCCTTCTGCCAGACTATCCAAAGTCCCCTCGCTCCCACATATGGCTCACGGAACGCGAGCGCGAGTTTATCGAAGCACGACTGCCTGAAAATGCGCCGTTGACGAGCGACCCGAATTTTTCTCGCAAAGAGATCCGCGCCACCTTGAAGTCACCTCTCATTTGGTCCTTTACTCTTTCACAGACGCTGGTCAATCTTGGCGGCTACTCGCTGACCTGGTATCTTCCAACGATCATTACAAACCTGGGATTTGCGGCCCTCCCCAAAAACCAACTGCTGAACATCGTGCCTGCATTTGTTGCTATTCTCGGTCTTATCTTCTCTGCCTGGTTTATAGACCGCGCTTACATTGTTCGCCCTGCATACATTATGATCATCATGTCGGGCATGGTGGTTTGTTTTGTCCTCTTCTTTACAATTTCGAATCGAGTGGGCATATACATTGCTTGTATTCTGGGGAGCTTATTCTATCAGTCCTATTTCATTCCCTTTTGGGCTTGGCGATCGGCAACCTTGGTCGGAACTACCGGCACTGCACTGACATATGGTCTTCAGTCAGGAATAGCACAGCTTGGAGGAGTTGTTGGGCCACAGCTATTTCAGAGCCGCTGGGCTTACAATGGCTACAAGACCAGCTTCGCTATAGCTGCTTCGTGCATTATTGCTGGTTGGCTTGCAAACATTTGGACGTGGTACCTCACTCGCAATACCGAGTATGACGTCTTGCGTGTTCAGCGGAAGGCCATCAAATCTCGCAAGGAAGGACGAACCGTATTTGACGATGACATCCGCGTCTATCGTGAGCGCCAGTTCTACCAGGGAGTGCATTTTCAAAAAGACGTCGAAACAAAGTCTTCGGACTCCGTTTAGTCCCGAGGAAACTAGATCCTTTAGTGAGACATACGTTAGTTTATGGGTGTGTTCCCCTTGACAGCCCCGAGACGGGGCTGATTTTATCCAATGGTTTAGCTCCGTTGTAGCACCGTGGGGTCGTCCGGCTTGCACATGAAATGGGTGGCAGTAGATGGCTGGAACACTGTCGCCTCAGTCAGAATTTTAGATCTATGATGAAAACATCATACAAACGAAACGCACGACTTTTTATGTAACCGGCATGATTTAAAATGCTGTCGTAATTAAGTTTCGACACTGGGTCTTCTATTTGTTTGATATTACTTATGATCAACTTTTGCTGAATTTCTTTCGGTTATTCGATGGTAGTTATCGAAACCACATATTCTTAATAGATACGGTGCGGGCCCATATAAGAATTTAGAACTATTACCTATTCAAACCATGGCATATATACAACATATACCCACAAGGAACACTGATACCATATTCCCCGAACTATTTTCAATTATGATTTATGGTATCTTGACAGATCGCTGGCCGGGCACTCCTGCACGTGCGCAGTATTTCCGATTCTGTACGATATTTAAGCCCGAGTACTGCGCCAGTGAAACTATAAACTGTCATTCATGATATGTTAAAGCAAAGAATGTTGATGCTCCACATCGACAAGCCTGTACTGGGCATAGCTTCATTTCGGGTCTCCACTGCCGCTGTTAATTGATTGGTTATCGAGTCAATCAGGGCTCGCCATCTTGCAACGTTATGTCGCCGAGTTGCAGTCTACATGTCACCACTGCATCCGTGGTCGCGCAATTGCTATGTGACGCGTCCCGGAGAACAGCGCAAAATCCTTTTACGAATCAAATCATAATGTGCAGTAAACCAGAAATAACAGACGACTGGAGACAAGGTGTCAGAGATAGCCGATCTCTGACACCTTCACGCGGGCATTAATTGCTATGTTGCGACGGGCGAAATGGGCTCTACAACTACAATATAAATACGATATAAATATTTCAGCACGTCCCAATATGCTGCTCTCGTGAGTACACGATATCCACCCATCCTTTATACCCACTGGTGTTGCTACCGCTGCACGCTACGTTGACCTTGCTAATTGACCAAGCATAAGGCCGTCCCTGAAAGCAATATGGCTACTACCGAAAAGAAGAAGTGGTGGAAGATACAGTGGTTTGCCGAAGACGACACGCCCGAAGAGCGCCGATTTTTAACCAAGATGGACTCATTTGTCATCCCTTACCTGTTTATCTCTTTTTGGGTCAAGAACCTAGATCAGAACAATATCAGTCAGTACTTCTGTCTGCGGTCGCTTCTGGCTATGTAAAACACTAACCTGAACTGATAGACAATGCCTACGTCGCCGGCTTAAAGGAGGATCTCGGCTTCTATGGCAACCAGCTTATCCAGCTTCAGACTATGTACATCGTTGGTGCCATCGTGGGACAGGTGCCGTTCCTCTTTCTGTTCACATACATACCCATGCACTGGCTATTGCCCGGCATGGATATCGGCTGGGGTATATTCACTCTGGTGCAGTATCGTTCCACCTCCTTCGCAGAACTGGCTGCCTATCGCTTCCTTGTCGGTATTTTCGAGGCCGCTTATTTTCCCGCCGTTCACTACGTTCTGGGATCCTGGTACAAGCGGCAAGAAATCAGTCGTCGCGGTGGGATATGGTACCTCGGCGTTCCTATTGGCAGCTTAACGGCCGGCCTCGTTCAGAGCGGCATCACTACCCGCCTTGACGGTGTCGGTGGTCTTTCTGGCTGGCGATGGATGTTTATCATCTGCTCCGTCATCACTCTTCCCGTTGGTTTGATGGGATTCTTTGTTGTTCCTGGTACGATGGAACAGCCTAACCGCCGGTTGTTTAGCGACGTGGAGCTCGAGATCTCAAGAAAGCGACTCACCCGCAGCGGTCATGCTGTTCAAGGCAAATTCAAACTAGCACATATGAAGACCACGTTCACAAGCTTTTATTTTTATGTGGCTGTTCTTGTCGATGTGCTATTTTGGAACGGCGGTGCCAATAGCGGCGCCTTCTTGCTGTGGCTCAAGTCTCTCAACCGTTACTCAACGGCAAAAGTTAACCAATACGGAACTTTGCCTTCCGGCCTCGGTATCTTCTACACACTCTTCGTCAATTTCTCTTCGGACTTGGTTTGGGGCCCGGCATGGGGCATCACGTTTGCTGCGACAATGAATGCGATCGCATTGTTAATTTTAGTATGTTTCCGCTCCAGTGGATTCTTAACAATCTATTGGGGGCACGATGACTAACAGGCTTCACAGACAATTTGGGACGTACCTGAAAGTGCCAAGTGGTATGCATTCTGCACAACATCATTTTCATATGCGCTTTCTAGTTCGCTCTATGGCTGGATCAACAACATTCTACGCGACTCCCCTGGAACACGCTCATTTACATTGGTGTTTATCAACATCATAGCCCAGTCGTCGACGGCATGGTAAGTAACGGTACCCAAACTGCCTCGTTGTCCCAAGAAAGCTCTTCTTGACACTTTTCGATCAACATCTAGGCTCGGTATTCTCACCTATCCCACCGTCCAAGCCCCTCGGTATAAGCGCGGCTATGCGTATAGCTTGTCCTGTGCTGTCGCGCTGATTATATTTACACATGTGCTAGACAATGTTATCCGCCTCAGAAGGTATAATAAACTAGTTATGCTTTTTATATCTATTTATCTTCTAGCGATTTACCTATGTTGAATATTACTAACGTCTGTCAGAAAACACGAGGCCCAAAGAGCCGCCGAAGCCACTGACGAGGTACGCCATTTTCCGACATTAGTCGAAAGAAGCCTTAACGACGAACCTAAAGACCCCTACACCATTGTCACAATTCAAAGTACAAAATCACCTTAAAAATAAAAGAGATGAAGGAAAGGATAAAAACGATATTAAAATAAAAAACGGGATTTTGTTATCAAAACGTTCGTGTAAAAAAATGCGTATACGAATACTATTAAAGAGAGTAATACTATTAAAGAGAGTCAGGGTCACGGGACATAACGTACAACTAACACACGTAACAAAAAATTCAAGGGTTGAAAGGGTAAATCCAGCACTACCTAGGACAGAGGTAACTTGATACTCTTTGGCAATACCAATAGTATTCTGAGAATGAGATAGCAGGGCTACATGCTATCAACCTATTGTCAGCAAACTCAATCCTCCTCCTCCTCCGGATCATAAATATCCCCCGCAGGAGTCTTATCCAACTGTACCTTATCCTCCGTGACAATCGGCAAAGCCGGTACAACAACCACAAAGACTCTAGCCACTGTCCCGCCCCTGTTCACCCAAGCATGATTCACACCTCTGGTAACAATAACATCATGTTCCTTAAGTGTCTTCTCCTCCCCGCCATCAGTAATAAATGTAACAGATCCACTGAGAACAACACAATAATCCAGACTGAGCGTGCGATGCATCCATCCTCCTTCCTGGTGGGGAGGTAGATCTATAACTCGTGCTGAGGGACCCTTTGTGTCTGCAAGGGGTACAAGGATTCTGTACGGATCATTATTCTCTAACGGACGTTGGTTGTCCGCGGGGAAACCGCGTGTACGATGGAGTTGTATTATGCCGAATGCGGATTTTTCAGTTGGAAGAGAGAATTCGGGTGCCGTTGTGGGATCGTAAGGTGTAAGAAGCTCGTCGGAGGCGAAGTAGCCGTTTCCTTTTGGGTCATTTGCGGTGAGAACGCGGCGGACTGGCGTTGACAGCTTAGTCATTTTGTTTGTATATTGAAGAAAAGATATTCGGTAGTCGATAGAATGATGAACGAAATCGATATTCCGGAGGAAGTCGTATCGTAAATACATTTTCGATCTGATCAAGTCGACGTGTCAACAAACTGATTTGTAATGTACGGCTTTATACGGCCGTACTGTGTAAAGAACATACAATGGATTAGGGCAGTAAGCTTAGAAATCGAAGTTTCTTATTGTTTTTCTAATCGGATTATATTAAATTAAATGTATAATTGGCCAAAGGAGTAGTGAAATGGGGCGGAGTGCCGTACCCACACAAATAAACGTACACAACAACTAAAGAGGCTGTGACGAGTACTGTAAAGAATCAGGTACTACTGAAAGCCTGCCATTTTTAGCGGCTTCTCCACATGGAGCCACATACTAGGAGGTATTGTTTTCATATTTACATCCTTTGTTTCTAGTTGGTGTGTGGTTAACCTATTCTTTTTTTAACCTACCCCCTTTTTTGTCGGGAAACGGTGTGCTTGTTTCTATCTATTATAATGTATATCTCTCTTTTTCTTTAATCCTTTTCTTTACCACTTGTCTTAACTCTTAGGTAGAAGTGGTCTTTTATCCCTTTTTTCGTCTCGAGGGCGTACGGACTTTAGTTAGAAGTCTTACTAGACTGGTCTGTTTACTTAGTCAAGAGGGATCTAAACGGGCAGTTCGACTTTTCTTAATTACCTTAAATTTCCATTAACATAGGGTCCACGGCCATGTACGCCTGGATGGCTACCATGTTCTTCTTAGAACAGCCTATGTCGATCCAGTATCCCTCGTCGTTTCGGAACATGACCGTCGCGTTGACTGTAAAGTAAAGTCAGTTGGGATTTTCAGCTATCCCGTTGTAGTAAAGAGCAACAAGAAAGTGAGGGAGACATACATCGGCGCGGTGTGCTCCGTTCACCGCCTCGGCCCAGGACAAATACCTCGGGTTTCGTACCCTGCTGCGTGTGCTTTTCTTTTTCCTTGAGCTCGACGGCGTTGGTTAGGTCCAGCCCCTTCCACGCGGCAGACCAGCTGATGACGGTGTAGGCCTGCTCAAGCGCCTCGCAGATGAATATACCCTGCTTACGCCGCACCATCTCGCGCGCTATAGCCAGGTTAATGTCGGCCTCACCGGCCATGAAGATGCTTCGCACGGACTGGCGGTTCATGTAGGCGATCTCGCTCGTGGGCATGTCGGGCTTGTACTTGAAACGGGACGACGCAAAGGTGAAGCCGTTGTGAATAAACCCGTCGAGCACGGAGCCGGTGAGGCTAGGAAGACGGCCGCGCACTGTTGCAAATGCATTAAAAATTAGTAAGATACTTCGTTTGAAGTGACACTGGCTGATTTGCATTTTATCCTCATCCGTGATGGTGGCACACGCACAGTTCATAGTCTGATTCAAAGTCATCATCTTCGCGTATGGTTTGTGCAAGCGAGCGAACTGGACAGGGAGGATAATCAGCATTAATCCAACCACCATGACAGCCCACCCAAGCATCCACTGAGTGTGAAATACAAACCTTTGTAAGAATGGCCGTGATAACATCATTGTCTGAGATGCCCGGATCGCTACCGTACGTCTCCAGCTCTGCGGTAAACCGTTGGCGCACCGATTTAACCAACGAATGCGGCATGAAGAGAATGTGATCTACCTCCTCCTTGTAAAACACAAGCTCGAAAAGGAAGCCCAGAATCATAAAGAACATCTCGCCCCAGCGCCTGACATGCATTTTCCCCACCCGCCTCGCTTCGTCCGGCGTGAGGTCGGCAAACTGCCTTTTGTACGGTAAGGGGTCGTCAATCAGAGGCGGCGGGGTCTGCCCAGCCAAGACGCCCATCCACGCATTGACGAGGGTCGTGAGTCCCATCTGGTCAGTGACCATGTGCGGCACGCTCATGGCAAGCACGCTGGCGTCATCGTAGAGCGTCATGTGGATATAGAGGATAGGCGAGTCGGTCGGGTCGTCCGCAACATGAAACGGCCAGTTAGCTGGCCGGAAAGCCGCGTCGTACACCATTACGGGCGGCAAAAACACCATGCCGCCTACATTGCCTCCGCTTGCGCTGCCGTCGGTTTCCGTTACCGTTTCCGCTTCCTTGGGAGTTGTTGACGGAGCCTTGAGTGATGGGACAGCCGTTTCAATCGATTCGCTACTCTTGTCCGACTCGGTCCATGTGAATAATTCGTAGCCATCGGTAAAAGTTTGTGGCACATGGTATTCGAAGACACCCCTTGTCGAGTTCCATACAAGGCGCCCTCCGAGTTTGCGCCAATGTTCCCGGATCAACTTGTCGAGGCCTGCTTTCAGAGCGGCGGCATCTAAGCGACCTTTGACGACGAAATGAGTCCGGATCCTAATGTTGTCCAACGGCTTCTGCTGGTCGGTCAGCGCAATCGGTATGACGTCCATTTTGTATTTGTATTACTCTCCTTTTCTTTACCGCTTTCTTTCTCTCCTGGTTCAATGGGAGCCGCAGACCTGCAGATATTCGTAGGTAGTCCGTTGTCCGTTCCTGCAGCGAGGCGAAAAAGCGTGAGAGGCTGAGAAAAGCGCGGACGAAGGAGTTACCCATTGCACAATTAAGTACGAAGTGTTGTTGTCGGTATGTTGGGATTTGAAGCCTAAGCTGCAGACGCACAGACATCGTGTGGGCCGTTATTATTTACAAAGATTAGATCCATAGGAGCTGCCAACAGTGGTGGACCCGCGGCCATATTAGCCATTATAAGGTTGGAGTACTTGAATCGTGCTGACGGGGACGTAAGCTGACGGTCGCCTAATCTTTTAATGCTTAAATCGATGTGATACGCAGAAAGAGGCGGAGTGCACACTCCAGCAACCAGGGTATGCCCAAACGACAAGATTTGCAGAGCTGTTTCGTGTGGCATACAAAGCTGTCAAGGGAAAAAAACTTTCCGACTTGGAGGCCGAGACCGTTCACAAGTGACTCCAGCAGGCAATGGTAGTTTGAAGTAGGTTGAAAGGCGAGGGCTGAAAGGAGATAAATTGATGTACGAGGACCAGTCTAGCCGACATTGGCAAGTTTGGTCACAAACGTAATTGGCTGTTTCCTTTAGAGAATAGAGTGTACAAAGTAATTACGACAATTACGACATACGAATTTTCCGAACAAAAGATACGGTCAGCACAACGCCCGAGACAACAGTGATCAATATGCCATCCTATCCCCAATACACTATTTACGTGGCAGAGGCCGTCCCTCGCTTCTAACAAAGGCCGTCGTTATTTTATCCAGCAGACTCGTCGTGACCCACCGATCTCTCTCGATAACCTCGCGGGGTCTTTCAATTCGGATCCACCGGCAACGACAGTACGTCGTCACTCGAAGAATAACTACATTCACAGATGGAGCGCTATGGAGAAGATTCCGCTTTAAGCGGATGATGCTAAAGGCAGGCATGATCTTGTACAAGACTGGAAGGACAACGACGAATTACTACCGGTATGTAACATTTTACCCCACGACTTAAACTAATAATTCTAGACGATCTTCACGGATGAAAGTAGTAGTCAAAACAACACAAACAGCCAAAAAGCCACGATTTTTCGTCTCCTTTCTCAGAAATACAGGCCCGGGCTACGTTAACTTGAGAAACAATGTGAAAGCTCAAATCTGGTTGATGTTTTTGGGAGGGGTCGGATCGAGATGCTTCCTTTTCGGCCTGCCCATACCCCCGATTTGAATCCAATTGAGCACGTCTGGGCTATGATGGAAAGCGCCCTCGAAAGAAGTACCCGAATATTTGGGGAAAAAAAAACAATTTGAGGTGGCTGTTTTTGAGGTTAGAAATTGCTAGAAAAGTCAATATTCGACGATTCATGGAAGTAACTTCTGCCAAAACTTGGGTGGCTGGGGGATGTGGTGGGGGGGGGGAGAAGGTCCTGATACTTTGGGCATAACCATAGCATATTTGGAGTCCGTTTCTGTGCACAACAACGGGATGGGTTTAGCGCCACTGGCATTGGGATGGTGCGTTCTTTGCTTAATATGGCCACGGCTGGAGGTGATTGGCGGGTGGGCGAGGTGACGAGCAGATTCCGTTTTGTTGAATAACACAAAGACGGGTCTCTGATAAGAAAACGTCGCAACGCAGTAGCGAGTACCATCAGTCGGATAGCACCTCTTGACCGTGTCGCAAAATATAAATGCCCGTACTCATAGATAAGGTAATTGCCCGGAAGGCCTCGATGGCTCCCGAGCCCCCCAAGACCGACCTGGGGCAAGGAGAGTGAACCTCTTCCATCGCTTCGCATGTGCTTCGTGCTTCCTTTTTGTTAGTCTTAAATTTTTTTTTTTTTTGTAATTCTAGCAATATACATTATGGATCAACAGGCGACGAGTCTGGCTGGCTTGCAAAGCCCCAGCGAAATAGCGGCCGCGCAAGTACCTCCACTACACCAAAAACAACAGCAGAAGCAGCAGCAACCACGACGAGCGGCCACACGTGGCGAGCGGCCGTGCGACCTGCCGGCGACAAACGTTCAGATGCGTGCGCGAACCCGAGCAAGAGCGGTACGTGCTGTGCTCTTTCCACCAGCGGGAGTCCACGTACCTGAATGCGCCACAGCATAGACGCAAAGAAGGTGACGGCAGGAAATAATGATAACGGTGGAGGAGGAGGCACCTTAAATGTGGAAGACGAGTACGGCGACCATCTTCCCTTCGAAGTCACATTGACGTTTGTAACGACCGCCAGTGCGGAGTTGCCAGGCCCGTATTACGCCCGCTCCCGCGTCCCAGCATCAACTTAATATGTAATAATAGGAGGTAAAATATTTAGTTATACGTGTCAAAACAATATCCCCTTATAAAAACATAAAGAGGTGGCGGTGATGATACTTGTTGACTATTCACATTACAAAACACGAGAGGGATAAGCAAAAGTCCCAAATACAGCGACAACAAGATGCCATGATCTAGGGTCTGGTATCCAGAAAAGAAATGTACCGGGGACGAGTAATGTTCGGGACGAGCCAAGTGCCAAGAGAACTAAAGTGGTGTTACACTTTCATTGTTTATTTTCTTTACTTGTTGTTATTTTTCTGTATTTTGATTTCAGGTACTGTTTCATTTTTGCATCCCCTGTTTCCAGCTGGTCTGCTGCTGACCTATTCCCTTACCCGTCAAGGAAATCACATATTCTGCTATTGCCCCTTGTCAAACAATGTCTAATTTTCAAAACATACAATCATCAAAAATAAACAGACTTGCTTGTTTGCTGGCCAGGGAAATCAAGGGATTCCATGTCCCAGTAACGGTAACGGTGCCCGATTCTACAAAAATCACATCACAATACTTCTAATAAACATTGGCAATGTTACGATGCGCGTCACATCCTTTGCTAGACACTCACATTTCTACAATGCATGGGACGATGTGACCCACTTTTCCGTAGCTGCCAATTTCCTATCCCTTCGACCCTCATTAACAAGGGTCCTCGCTCGCACATTTCTTTATCCCCTTCACGCCTAATCGCGTCGATTTTCTTGTCGCGTTTTGGCTGTTTTTTGCTATGTCTTACTTCCGCAAAGAATGAAAGAATCTGTTTCACCGGGCCCTTATTCATCGAAAGCGCCACGTTTTCGACACATGTCCGTGGATCCCCAACGCATTTTGTCTTGCCCTGGAACTTTACGTTCTCGCCCTGGCAAGCCATCTCTGCTAAGACGGCCTAGCGTACACAGTAAAAAATGACAACCTCCCTAGCCATGCATAACCAAAACAGGTTGTTCTGTATCATTTGTGATGTACAGTCATCTCCAACTGTAGCCGTTTTCAGCCTTGTGTCTCGAACAACGCGCATAATCAAAACAATATCCGTTCTGACCTGTTGTGTTGGCCGTTTTAAGGGAATGCATCTGGGGATGCAATTCAAATATTGAATTCTTGAGAAGCCACATTCTAATCGACTAGTAGCATGTTCTAGCTCTGCCATGCCTTCGCTTTTCGTTTCATATCGTCCTGTCCATTCCTTCCAGAAGCAGCACGATGGCGGTTTTCATCGTCATGGAAGCTCCGGAGGGGCATAAAATGCGGCCTATTCGTCGTTTGCTTCATCAATTCTTTCATTGTTGTCCGTCCTTGTGCTTTTGCTGTCATTCATTTCACGTCAATCTTTTGACCTTTGGTGGTCGCAATTTTACTCTTCTCCCCGTTTAATTCCCTGTGTTAACACAACGTCACCAGTGTCAGTACTTGTTCACTCCTTTTATGTTCTTTGAAACTAATTTTATTTGTGAGTGTGTTTAAATCGCCACCCATTCCCATTACATCTATCGACACCATGATCCAACTTCGACTTTGCTCCGTGTTGGGCCTTCTTCTGCTGGCTTCAAGTGCCATTGCAGCAACCGTCTCATACGACTGGGACGTGACTTGGGTCAATGCCTCTCCCGATGGCTTTGAACGCCCAGTCATCGGCATTAACGGTGCTTGGCCATGTCCTACAATTGCGGCCAATGTCGGAGACACAATTGTTCTCACCATCAACAACCTACTCGGCAATGAGACAACTGGAATTCACTTCCACGGCATCGACCAGATCAACACATCGTGGATGGATGGTGCCAACGGTGTCGCCCAGTGCTCCGTGCCCCCTAATTCTTCCATTACATATCGTTTCTTGGTAGGTTACACAATGCATCGACTTCTCAATATCAAGAAACAGTGCCAACTAACTATTGTAACTGATAGGCCGATTCTCCGGGTACTTTCTGGTGTATGACAAACCCTGCCACATTTTCGGTTGGTCTTGATTTACTGGTAAAGTCTTACTGAAACTCTTCAACCCAATAGACCACTCTCATGACATGGGCCAATACCCGGATGGTCTCCGAGGACCCTTGATTGTCTATGACCCTCTAGACCCGTACAAAGGACAATACGACGAAGAAGTGGTTTTGACTGTCTCTGATTGGTAAGCATCTCCTCACAACAGGCCCTGGCGACCACAAGCAAGCTCTCGTCCTTCGTGTCTAACTGCTGCTTATTAGGTATCACGACCAAAGCATCACACTCGTCAGAAATATGATAACGACGACCAACACGCACTTCATACCTCCGTTCCCGGACAGTATTATCGTTAACGAGGGTCTCGGCGCCAATGTAACATTCGACAATGATAAGACATACCGTTTTCGCATCATCAGCTTCGCGGCGTTTGGTTCGGCCATGTTTAGCTTTGACACCAGCCACATGCAAGTTGTCATGATTGATGCCTCCTACGTCGAAAAAGCCAAAGCAACACAATTGCGTATCGCACCATCCCAGCGTTATGATGTGCTCATTTCCGTCCCGCGCCGCAGAAACTGCAAGGCAGTAGCCTCGGCCAATTACCCGTTTCTGCTGTCTCTTGATATAAACCGCGACTATACTAATGATCCCGCCCAGTCAGTCTGGCAACACAACTACACGGGTTACCTTGTGACAAATCCTACTGGCGACTTCCCCGAGGAGGTTGTAACTTTGTGGCAGCCTGCTGATGATGCTACATTTGTGCCGCTTGATGGCGCAGTTGCCCTGGGCCCTGTCTCTCAAGAAATCACGCTTGATTTCGACTTCTGTAGAGATGAAAACAACCTACCCCGCGCCTGCTTCAACAACAATACCTACATTGCGCAAAAGGTGCCCACACTCTACTCGGTGGCGACGACTGGGACAGACAACACCAATCCGATAGTCTATGGCGATGTTCTCCCCTATATTCTACCCTTGGGGACGATCGCCACAATCGTTGTCAACAACTTAGACGCTGCGATTCACCCATTTCATTTGCACGGCCACCAGTTCCAAGTGCTAGCTCGGCCGGAAAGCGGTGCAGGCACATGGGACGGCCAGGAGAGCAACTTAGCAGTCACACCGCCGCGGCGAGACACGATTTCCGTTAATGCCAACTCTTATGCGGTTCTTCGCATTCAAGTTACCCATCCAGGCGTGTTTATTTTTCACTGCCACATTGAGTGGCATGTCGAGATGGGCCTGACGGCGACATTTATCCAGGCGCCGGAGTTGCTGCGTAACGTCACGTTCCCTGCGGACCACATCGACAATTGCATTAAGCAGAACATCCCGTACCAAGGCAATGCCGCCGGGAACACTGCAGACGTGCTTGATACAAGTGGTTTCAACACTGTGCCACCTGTACAATACGAGGGGTAAGTTATTTTGCGTTCTAGTATTCTGCCATTGGTTTTATCCGCTCTGCTAATAAACTTGGTAGCTCCTTATATCCATCAAGTTAAGATCCTCCTACTAAAATAGGAAAAATCTCGTCCCTACGACAGCAAAGATTTTCACGCCATTACATTCGGAAAACCCACGGGTTCAACTAATCTAATTCTTGTTGTCGTTATATGTACCGTGTTGTTGAGGAATAAAAGAAAATTTGAATAACCGAATTCGAGAAAGTTGACGGGGTGAAGAATCGAAGTAATGTCCACTTTTTTAACCGCATAACCACACCGGTCCTTTAAAATAGTCACCGGTGTCACCTTTAGCAGTAAACCCGTTTGTTTTTAGGGCAATCATTCTCCCCTGGTCTGATAGCCACACCCGTAATTTAACGTTACGACACTCGCCAAGAACACAACATGTCGTCTCGAAAACTTACCAACGAGCTCGGCATTGCCACGCTGTCGCTTGGCAACTGGCGCGAGCACACACTTGAACCACGCCTCAAAGCGGCAGCGCGGGCGGGCTTCCAGTGGATCGACCTCTTTGACGAGTGCTGGTCGGCCTACCTCGCGGAACATGGCCTGAATGGAGAGGGCGCGGCGGCGTGGGAAGCAAGCGAGAATAACCTGGCCGTGGCGCGGAAGCTGGGTGTACTTGTGAAATCGCTAGGGATGCGCATTGCCTGCACGCAGCCGCTGCGCACCATCGAGGGCATTCTCGACCCAGTCGAGCGGCGAGCAACGCTGGACGGTGTGGCGCGGCGGTTTCCGTTTATGCGGGCGTTTGATACCGACCTTGTGTTTATGTGCTCGTCCATCCGGCGTGACGCTGGCGTGGCGCCGGCGGATTTGAAAAGGGTGGCGCGCGATTTGGCCGAGCTGGGCGACATGGCGGCCGCGTATGCGCGCGCTGATGGAGGGCGGATGCTGCGGATCGGCTACGAGGGGCTGTCGTGGGCGTCGCGCAACACGTGGTCGTCGTCGTGGGAGGCGGTGCGGTTCGCCAACCGATCCAACGTCGGACTGGTCGTGGACGCGTTCAACGTGCTGGCCGTCGAGTTTGCCGATCCGTACAACCCGGCGGGTCACGGGCGCATCTTTTCCACTCTCCGCGAATCTCTGAGGGTGCTAGCTAGGTCGATGGCCGCCCTTGTCGCCATTGTCCCAGGCGACAAAATCTTCTTTTTTCAGTGCGGCGATGCGGAGCGCATGAACCCGGCCACGTTCTTGCCGCCCACCGACCCGGCGGTACCGGTTCTCCTCCCGTGGTCACGCAGCCACCGGCTGTACCCATTGGAGCAGAAACGGGGCGGCTACATGCCGGTCGAGCTGGTGGCCGCGGCCGTCGTGGCCACAGGTTACAAGGGTCCTTTGTCACTCGAGGTCTTTAGCCACACGCTCAATCTGCCCGGCGAGAACGTCCCAGACGACCACGCGCGCCGTGGTATGGACAGCCTGCATGCGGTTGCCGATGTTATCCAAACACTTCCTCCGTTTTGGAAAGATCCCACTGAGTTGGAGCGGGCCGTGGACTGTGTCGTGCAGAGGCTAGAGACGACAAGTGATCCACGGGCGGCCCGTTTGTAGACCCATAGCTAGATGCAGAGACACGCGCACATCAAAGAATAGAATGGTGCACACTTGAGCAGAAACATGACAGTGTCTCAGTGTAGCATAGTCATCATCGCGTTCAAGGTTTCAATTTAGTTCCATTGAAGCGTATTCGTCACCTTCTGTTCATTTGTCATGTACATTGCTCGACCGATATCTTTGCTACATCTTAGCCTTGCCCTCTACCGCGTGCAGCCCACCCTCAGCTACGACATAGTCTCGGCCACGCTCCCAGCCGGTCCACGCTTGCATCAGCTGCTCGCCGCCGCTACCAGCCTTGAGTGTTTGTGGTGTCCATCCATCATTTGGTGCCTGCGACGGCGTGTCGCTTAGAGCCACCATGGCCCGTTGCTCGTACCGTGCGGCCTCCATCTCTGCATAGGTCAACACGGGCGTGCAGCATGCATCGGTGCCGTCAAACACGGCTTCCCATTCCGCGCGTGTGCGCGTCTTGAAACGGCCGGCAAGCAACTTGTGCAGGGCCGGCCAGGCAGCGCGGTCGTCACGGGGTATTCCACCCCAGTCTTTGTCGGACACACGCAGCCCCTTACACAACGCGGCAAAGAACTTGGGCTCCAGCGCGGCCACGGCCATATACCGTCCGTTGTCGGCGCACTCATAGACCCGGTAATATGGACAGCCACCATCAATCAAGTTTTCGCCCCGAGGACGGTCCCACTGACCGGGGATTTTTGAAGACACGCGCGGCGCCGTCGCCAGGTACGATACACCGTCTACCATGTTGGCCTCGACCACCTGGCCCCGACATGAAGTCGCGCGGGCTTGCAGTGCTAACAGAATGCCCGCAAAGCACACCAGCCCGCCCCCGGCAAAGTCGGCCAACAAGTTCCCTGGGGGGCTGGGCGGGAGGGGGTACAGCCCTCCTAACGTAGAGAGGACGCCCGACACGGCGAGATAATTCAAATCATGTCCTGCCATGGGGGCGTATTTGCCGTCGCGTCGGTAGCCGGTGAGGCGGGCAACGACGAGGCGCGGGTTGCGGGGCAGGAGAGTCTCGCGGGGTCCGAGGCCCAGCCGCTCGAGTACGCCTGGCCGGAATGGGTCAATGAGCACGTCGGCGTGTTCTACCAGGCGAAGGAGCAAATCGCGGCCCCGGGGGCGCTTGATGTCGATACAGACGGAGGACTTTCCGTGGACCAGCACGTCGGGGCTGGGTATGTCTCCCTGGGCCACACGGTCGACCCGGAGGACGTCGGCGCCGTTTTCAGCGAGCAGCAAGCCTGTAAAGGGGCCAGGAGCAAGCCCGGCGAGCTCAATGACGCGAATGTTTTCGAGGGCAGGCATGATCGTGTTGGCGTAGGTGTCGGCGTAGTGTATTGCACAAGAAGGGGCAGAGACTTTGGCCGGCGATGCAGGTGGTAATTTACAATTTCGAAAGGATATATGCAATACGCCCATGGCACAATCACATGTCCGATTTACAGTGCAACAAAGGCCGGGGGCGTATTTGAATTGACCGGGTCCGGGCAGTGGTGAACAACGGCTTGAAACCGTGTCTTGGAAAACGCAAGCACCTCACAAAACAGGGCAAACGCAATGTTGCATTCCCATGCAAGGCCGGCCATGGATGCCACTGCCTTTGACTCATGTTTGAAGCTTTCAAGATATAGACGATTTGCTTTTATTTGTTGTATCTACTGCCTATTCACACCGGTCCTATCTCCGTTATCGGCTGCGGTGCCTATAACCGCGCCTTCGTCTGCGCAAGCTTGCGCAGCTCCCGCCGCAGCAACTTGCCCGTCGGGTTGCGCGGTAGCTCATCCACAAAATACACTCCACCGGTCAGCTTCTTGTAACCAGCCACTTTTCTCGCCACCATATTCTTAATGCTCGTGGCCAGAGCGTCCGTGCCCTTGCCCGTACGCGGCACCACAAAGGCGCACGGCAGCTCCGTGGCCAGGGCGTCGTCCCACACCGATGTCACGCCAACGTCTCGAATGGCAGGGTTCTGGAACAGCACCTCTTCAAGCTCGCTGGGACTGACCTGGAACCCCTTGTATTTTATCACGTCCTTGAGCCGGTCCACAATTACCAAGTAGCCGTTGGCGTCCAAATAGCCGACATCACCCGTACGAAACCACCCAGGCTCTAACATCGCCGCAGCCGTCGCGGCTGGGTCGTCCTTGTAGCCCATCATGATTGTCGGCGACGAGACGCAAATCTCACCCGGCACGGGTGGCATCACGTCTTGCCCCTGTTCGTTGACAAAGCGAACGTGCATATTTGCCAGCAGCGTGCCCGCCGCAATGAGTGGTGCTTTGTGGCGGTCACGCACGCCGCTCTGGGCGACACAGGACGCTAGCTCGGTGCACCCATAGGTCTGACAAAGGCTCACGCCGGGGAACTGCCGGCGCAGGAGGTTGGCCACGGCAGGGGACAGTGGCGCCGCTGAACACGAAAAATATTCGAGGTCGGGGTACGCATAGTTCAGAACAACAGGCGATTTTGCGAGGGCCAGAGCGACCGGTGGCACCAGACGCGCCAGGGTTGCCCGCTTCTCGTGCATGAGCCGGCAATACGTCTCGACGTCAAATGACGGCACCATGCAGACGTATGAGCCGAGCCACGGCGCCATGAGGGCACACACATACAGGCCGTAGATGTGGGAGACTACAAAAGTCAGCGAATATACACAATACGGTGGGAGGGGCACGTACGTGGCGGAAAGAAAACTTCTCGTTGGTTCCCCCGCCAGTTGTCGGGGTTGTGCGCCCGCAGCATCTCGGAAATGCAGACCAGGTTGTGATGCGACAGCATAACCGCCTTGGGCAGGCCCGTTGTACCGCTCGACAGCACGACGGCTGCACAGACAGTGCGTGCGTCGCGGCCGTCGAGAACATAGGCTGAGGGATCGATGCGCTCGTTCGCTAGCAGGTCGTCGGGGAAGAGTGGCGTGTCTGGGATGCGCTCGACCAGGGTCATAACCGCGGGGCATCCGTCAAGTCCCGCAAGTGCACGCCGCACCTTGTCCAACACGGCCACGTCGACAATCAACAGACGCGGCTTGATAATTTTAAGGGCGTGTACAATCTCCTTGGGCGCCGAAGAGTGGTTGACGGTGCTCACAACGCAGCCGGCGGCCCAGACAGCGTGGGCGGCCAAAATATAGTCGACCTGGCTACGGCCCATTATGGTCACAGCGTCACCAGCTACCAAACCATGCCGGTGCCGCAGAGCATGGGCGGCTGTAAACGCATCTGCTCGAACACTGCTGTAGGTGGCCGTCTTGCTCGTCAATGTGTCCTCGCAGACAATGTTGGATGGGTCAGCATTGCACGGGTTCTCTAGCATCATCTGCGTCACGGAGCGATCCGTGCGCAAGTGAACAACGACGTCTGAGATGATCGGGGTCATGGTGAAAACGTGCAAAGAATCAAAGAAAAACTATCAAGAAGAATTATCATGCACACCATTAAACTTCAAGCATGCGCCGCGAGATAAACTGAGTATATAATTTACAGATCACTTCCCAGCCAGGCCATGAAAAGTAAACAAAGACAGATGCGTCCAGCAGGCCCGGCTAACAATTTAATGAGCCGACCTAGCAAAAGTGCGATATCGGAACGAATTTTATTTTACTTTTAATTTTTTATTTTCAATTACAATTTTTTATTCTTTTTAGTGCCTTTTTCGTAGTCATATACCGATTTTATTTCATTCATAGTAATGCACATGCCGGTGTTTGTCTCACTGCCCACGTTATTGTTTACTTTCGTCGTCTTCTTACCATCTACGACATCAGTCTCCAAAGTCGTCCCGCCCTGCCATGGAGGGCCTCCTAGCGGTTTTGCCCGTCGTCGAGGGTGAACACAATGTCTTTGTTGACACGAATCGACCTATGCCAGAGCTCACTGGCCAAGGTGATCGCGTCTTTGGCGGAATTACACTCGGCCAGAGTCTCAACGCCGCCCAGCAGACCGTCTCGCCTCAATTCGTTGCCCACTCCATGCACTGCACCTTTGTTTCGGGGCGAGTCGCCATGGTTGCCGTCGAGTACCACGTCGAGCGTATCAAGGACGGCAGGCAGTTTTGTGTCCGCGGTGTGCGTGCCGTTCAGGGAGGGCGAACATTTTTTGTGGCCCTTGTTAATTTTACTACACAAAGCCTTGGCAGCCTGCATTACAGCAGCCGCTTTCCAAACGACGTGCCGATGCCACCGTCCGAAAATGACGACGACAACAGCAGCTTAAATCGCAGGATACCGTTTCTGCACCACAGCGTCGGACTCAGATTGCCCTCCGGCGACGCGCTCGCACAGATACACCAGTGGGTGCGCGCCCGGGAACCCATTTCAACCCACAACAGTCCCAACACGCATGCCCACCTGGCAGCACTGGCCTGTATGTCCGACAGCTACTTGTTGGCCGGCGCGCCGCACAGCCACGGTATCTATGACTTTGCCAGTCCGCCAGTGTCAGAAGTGTACAACGGTCGCCACGGGCTATCACTGCCTTCGGAGACACACCAGCCCATCCCGCGGCCACACCTCAACTTCCCAGGCAGTACCTCCTCAAATGGACGGGTGAAAGTCATGGCCAGCCTCGACCACAGCCTCTACTTCCATGACCCGGCACAACTGCGAGCCGACCAGTGGCTGCTATCTGAAATCCACTCGTCCTGGGCCGGCAGCGGTCGAGCGCTCGTGCATATGAAAATCTGGGGTAAAGATGGTACGCTGGTGGCCAGTTGTACGCAAGAAGGGCTGGTGAGCGTCGAGGATCTGCCACAGGCGAGAGACTCTCGGTTATAGAGTTTGAATAGATGTAAACGTAGAGAATATATATGTGGAGGAACACTAGTAATACGCTCTTGTCGTGTCGATAAGAAGAAACGATATAGGATGATAAGCTGGACCATCAACGATGGCTCGATTATGCGACCGTTAACACGCATTCGTTCCACCGCACTCAAGCCTCTTCAACCTCCTGGACGCTGGATTTCCCCTCCACACCATGCGGCAGTCGGTTGACCAAATTGACATCCTTGACAAACAAGGCATCGACCTCCTCGAGCGTCTTGCCGGTGGGATCCGGGCACATGAAATAGACAAATGCCACGCCGACAAAGTTGAAGACGAGCGGCCAGATCCAAATCTTCCAGCCGATGGTCTGGATGCCGATGCCACCGGCAAAGACCGTGACAAACGTAAACAGCCACTCGCCGAATAGTCCGGCCGCGGCGCCGACGTGACGGTACTTGAGGGGGGCAATCTGGCCGCGTTAGTGATGGTCGGTTTGTGTGGGAGTTTGCGAGTCGTCCTACCTCTGGACCGTAAAGCCACGGGCAAGTGACCCAGCCCCAGCCGTAGAAAAAGACGTATGGAAATAAGATCGCCGCTGCGGCCCACTGCGTGGCGTCTGTCTTGTTGGGCAGGCCAAGAAGCACGACAAATATGAGCATGCAGATACTCTGTGCAGACGACGTCAAGAGCATAATGTTGCGCCGGCCCATGCGCTCAATCGTGGGGATACATAGCAGGGCGCCGCCAAACTGCACCGTCAGACACACTGCCGCGAGGAGGGACGACAAGAACGCGGACAAGCCGATGCCCGTGAAGGTTAGCGTCATGTAATAGACCATAATATCGATGCCCATCATCTGCTGGATCGACAGAATAATGAATGAAATGCGAACGCGCCGTCCCACGCGCAGCGGCGTGTTATCCCACACCAGACTAATCCAGCTGAGCTTGTTTTCCTGCTCGGCCTCGAGCTGAATGCTCTGCATAATCTCTGCCTTGATCTGTTGGATGACCCGCTCGTCGTCTTCTGCGAGGCGCGTGCTGGGGTCATAGACACCGTGCAGCCGTGCCAGCGTGGTGTCGCCCTCAACCTCGCGGCCCTTGGCGTAATACCAGCGGGGCGTGTCCGGGCAGAAAAAGATACCAACCGCGGGAACAATGGCCCACAGGGACTGCAGGCCAATGGGGAAGCGCCATGAAAACTGCGTCGTCATTTGCGTAAAGCCAAAGTCGACCCAGTACGAAATGGCCACACCGGCGAGCAGCGACGCGCAGTTGATGGCCACCTCGGGTCCTCTCTCGCGGGCATGAATGCTCATCTCGGACTGCCACAGCCAGGTGTGAGCCGTTATTCAGACAAGATCAAAAGTAGGACACGGAATACTAACCATGTACATAGCCACGTTGCAGGTGATCAACTAGAGGGAAGAGGGTTAGCAACGAAAAGAGGAACCATGCTGAAACAGGAGCCGTCTTACGCCGATGCCGAAACCCTACATTTTGTCAGATTTGTTCCCAAATAAGTATCACAAAGAGGTGGTTTGCTTACACAAATGACACGTGCAACAATGATCTGGGCCACAGAGAAAGTCGCCGCTTGGATGATGCCGCCGAAGATAATCAAAATGTTGCCCAGCATGATCGAGTTGCGCCGGCCCAGCGGCATGCCCACCACGACTACCACGACCGACATGACCGCCGCTGCCAGAGTGTAGGACGAAGCAATCATCGGAATAACATAGGTGCCGGTCGGGTTGTCGATGGCATCGAGGTACTGCGAAGTGTCCTGGACGCCACCGAGAATGCCAGCCTGGTAACCCTCAATGAAAAAGGACTAGACAGTGGTCAGCCATGTCAGACAAAAAAGGAGCGGAAATGTACATACCACAGAGCAGCAGATCCGCGCGAGCCAGCGCAACCGCTTACCCTGGAGGAACACGTCAAACATGGTGATAATGGATGACAGATCGCCTCACTAAACGAATCGACGAAAATGCAGTGCGGAGGTAGATCGGAGTGAAACAAATAAATGCGTAGAATGTGACAAAGAACAACACGACAGCTGTCACTCGTATTGCCGATCTCTCGGATCTTAGACGACCCCTTTATATATTTTCGTGATGTCCAGGAACAAAATCGAGACATAGTCAACACGGAACCTCGTATCAAGGACCGCAAGGAACCCTCCGCGGGGGGCTGAGACGCCGATCTCTGCTGCCGGGGATTTTTTGAATTGACCGGAGCCGAATGTGCGAAACAAATCCTGCCACTCTGTCGCCTTAACCCCGCAAATCTCGGATGCTGGGTATGGGGTTAAAATCCGGGGTAAACCCAATGAAGAAGGCGCGAGAGACTGATGGGGTCAGGCGTGGAAGTAAGCAGGAGAGAAGGGAATTAGCAGAAGAAATGACAAAGGGCACCAATAACTGTGAAGCTCCAAGAAACAAGAAGAAAAGGCCATCCAAAGAAAGACACTTAGGGGAAGTGCCTCCGCTTGCGCATCTGGGCATTGATAAGTCATTGCTGGAATTGAAAGGCCGCGTTGGCAACCACCATGCATTCCAATACTGCGACTTTTGAAAAGGCAGTATGCTTTATTACGTAGCGCAGGATATCTAAGTCGCGTACGACGCACTCTACGGCACCATATACGGAGTTTGGATCAGGTGTGCACGGTAGAAACAGTACCATGCCATCGGCTCTAGCAATCGGCTAACATAAGGAGAATACTAACAACAGGCAACTGATCCGCACCGCACCAAACTTAAATCAGTTCCACAAAGTACCGACACAAGGCCAACCTCAGTTCTTATTTATTTATTCAGTTAGTCAGTCCTACCTTTAAAGCCAGCTCTTCATCGTTCCTTACGCAGGTAGAGATACCGGCACACCGTTGCCAGCCTCGAGGGCCAGCAAAATAGCCTCGCACACCTGCACAGCGGCGAGACCGTCTTCGCCGGAACATCTGGGGACTTCGAGGCCGCGGACAACTCGGGCGAGGTGCTCGGCCTGCTGCTGGAAGGGAATGCCCTCGGGGACCGCTAGTGGCTCGCGCGTCATGGGCAAGTTCCAGCCAATATTATTTGCGGGTTTGCCGGCGGCAATTGCAGCGTCGTAGTTCCACAGAACGTTGTCAGGGACGCTGAGCGAGCCGCGCGTACCCATTATTCGGTACGTGTCCACCTGTACAGACGTGGGCATGTAGCTGGGGTTGTCCCCCGAGGCGGACTCCCAGCCAAAGGGGCTCGGCGTGTTGTCGCAGATGACAAAGGTAGCCACGGTGCCATCAGAAAACCGTGCCATAACGGCGGCGCCCTCTTCTACCGTCTGACCGACATCTTCACGCTCGCGCCGCGTGGGGATGGCCCAGATTTGCACGACTCGTGACCCCGTCAGGTAGTGCAGTGCGTCAATGTCATGCACCATGTTGGTCCACACAGGCCCGCCGCCGGCCGATCGCTGCAATCGCCAGCCCGCACCGGCCACCTGGAAATAGTCGTCGCTCTTTTTGGCCGTCCACAGGGCCGACACAGCTGTGATCCGCCCAATACGCCCCGCCTCAATGGTTTCCCGGGCGCTGGTCATGGCTGGATGGAAGCGGCGGTGGTGGCCG